CCCCACCCCCCAGGGGTCAAGAACTTAAGGTTGCTCCTAATGGTTTCCATTACCTCCAAGCACTTATGCTATGGTGGGATAAAACTGCCTTAAATTCTCGCAAGTTCAACTCTTTTTTAAATTTTTACGAATTTAGTGGCTCCGAACCCTTATAATACGTTCATCACCAAATGTCTTTTAATCTGTTGCAGGATTTAATACAAGGACAAGAGAACTGCTATGCACTTTTATTCCCATTCTTAGAACTGTGGTTCTTTGTAAGTACAGCGTATATCTGCCGCCATTAAGTGCTATAGAGAGAGGGTCCGGTCGATCAAAGGCTAGCCTGCGTAGCAGACGTTTCCAAAAAAGCACGCGAAGGGAACGAAACTGCCAGCGAATGCGAAAAATAAGGAGCAGGGGGGATTTTGCTCACCCCAGGGGAGCTCCTTCGCCTGGAAAAGAAAAGCCGGAAACGGCTGCTACCCGGATTTAAGATTTAAGTGGTTTGACTCTAAAAGAAACTGTTGGGCTACATTATCGGGCAGTTGAAACACCTGCTATTTGTCAATTTGAAGTCGATAAAGATACCTGCCACAACGGACTGGTGAAGCTGGTGTTTTGAGCGTCAGCCCCTTGGTTAATTTGGTTAATTTACCTTCATTTACTTCAAGTTGATAAATAACATAAGCTTCAGTAATGAGAAAATTGTTAACACACATTTGTATTTTAATTTACAGATGTCCATAGAGCACACTTAGCACTGTTTTATTTGAACGGCGTTTTCTATCACATCGCGAAAAGGCTAACTGGAGTCCAATATGTAAGTAATAATGCGCAGTGCATGACACTTTTAGTCCTACCGTGTGCGACGGAGCCACTATTAGATTTGGCTTTCTGATTGGACTGATTACAGGTTTTTTGAGCCAATCGCTTAGCGTAGAAATTTAAACCTAAGAAAAAATGTGCATTACTTGCGACACTCCAGTGGTAATTGCTGGAAAACAAGTTCCCATAAAACAGGTTATTCTATTTGTCTGCAATTCTAAATAAGAGCCGGGTACATTACTCTTACATGTATAAACGTCATCGATTATTTTGAGTTTGTTTTTCTGTTTTTTGTTTGTCTGTTTGTTTGTTTGTTAGCTTGCTTGCTTGACATGTTTGTTTGGTTTGTTATTACGTGGCTCCTGTGTGCTTATGACCAGCAATCAGACGTTCTTTTTTTGGTAAACAACGAACGCCTGATCGCAGGTTTGACTGCATTATGATGCTCATCGTATTAAACTCATCTTTGGCTTCCAGCTCTTGGTTCGAAGCAGTCTCAGAAATGATGGTTCCAGACCTACTTATCGCCTGCTTGGTTATCTGTCCGTTATTCAACTGAGTATCACTCTCTTATTGACCGCCTATCAGGTGAGATATCAGCGCAGTAGCCAATACCGTTGCCTCTCGTCACGTATTCCACAACGTTGATGCTTGTGGAGGCGTTACGCGATAAGAAACATGTAAGACAGCGTCCACTCTACGCCGGAGAAATTTGAAAACGCAGCTTTATTTCTACGGTTAGGCCGCCAACCGTTCACACTAATCCGTCACGAAAACGGAGCTTTTCGAAAACGCTCTCGTAACCGTAGGAATTTCAACAGGCTGGCTTTTCGTGCGACCATTTTGTTCACATTTTCGTTTGCATTTTCTTCCTCTGAGTAGACGTTGCATGACGCAAAAGAGAATTCAAATCTAAATGATTTAGCATTTATTTCTAGGTGTTTTTTTACAACTCTGCAATTTTTCCTTTCAAATATGTACTAATTAGTTACATAGCTCGCAGCCTAACATCTATCCCTTTCCCTTTCTGGGAAAGAATCGTCAAGGTGACCCTGTTGACTCTCCAGTCCTTACAGAGCTAACAAGGTTACTAACAAGGTTACCATGATTGTCTCTTCGTTTTTAACAGCATTTAAAATCTGGCAAGTCGCTAGAAAGCCTTGTAACAACAGACAAGACAACACAAGCAAGCGCCACTATTACGCCTGGCTTGAAGTGTGCACTCTGCTTGGAGAGACTGCGGGACAAGAGTGCAACTCCGTGTGGCCATTTGTTTTGTTGGAGCTGTATTACTGAATGGTGTAGCAGCAAGGTGAGACCGCCACAGGGCTATGCATGCTGTGAAGTCATAATTGACTAGGCACTCAACTCGAATGAAAAAGACGATTATGGTTACCGAGTTAGAAAAAACAAAGAACGGAACCTTTAAATACAAAAAAGAGAACAACCAAAGACCTTTTGGTCGGTTTTGCGGTGACTTCCGTCGACTTGAGTGGAAATGTTAGCTCGATCAGCAAATCATTTGATAATACACGTATAAAAAAATTGCTTAATTATGATCGGCTAAAAAAAGTG